CACCAAGTTTTCCAAAATGCAACCAAACACTGGAAAGGAAAATATTTTCTGAAAAATGACTCATTTTCGAGAAAACATTTTCCATAACTTTTCATTGACCTAACCTTTTTAAATGTAGGAATAAAAATATAATAAAGATTAATGATTTTTTTTTCCCAATTGTTATTGCCTTTTTTTTTTTTCAGAGTACTATTGACTCTGTTTACATTATTGTAGTATCTGTTCAAATATACTTTGTCAACAGGTAGTTCTTAAGTTAAGTTATAAAGAAGTCATAGAATATAGTTAGCATTATGCTAACATTAATGACATGTTTGGTTCATGGAATAAGTCAGAAAAGGAATAACATTCATTGGAATAGACCTCTTCCATTGTTTGGTTTGCTCATTTTGTCATAGGAATAACATTCCTAGGAATGAGCTATTACTTTTGTGGGTCCCATGATATAAAAAAACCTCAGGAGAAAAACTAAGAACCAATCTCAGTCTTACATATGTAAAAATCGGACTAATCATATCATTTTTTTTTAAAAAAAAAAAACAAGATGAAATTTTCATAATTATCATCAACTTCACTTTGCAAAACTGAACAATTAAATATGCAATCTGTAACAACTATATATATAAAACTGGATAAATTTTAAAAAATCAATAAAAAAATTAAATTTTAAATCTAAACTGAAAATGCTAGATCCTAAACAATATAAAATGAATTCCTAAACCAAATAAAACAAAAAACTCAGTTATAAACTCTAAAATCAAAATACTAAGTGCAATACACTTTAGCATTTCTGCAAATGCAATTTTTTAATACAAAAAGTGCAAACCTGAAAAATTATTCAACGCACATATTTTAGCGCTCAAGTTTGCATAGTAAAATTGGTGATAATTACGAAAATGCCACCGTATTTTTTTTAAATTGATTAGATCTGTCGTGTTATATATATATATATATATATATATATATATATATATATATATATATATATATATATATATATATATATATATATATATCTAACACTAGGTAGTGGGCATCCACCCATTCCACTCTCCTCATCAAATTAGACATCCTAGGCATGATTCTGAGATGTCCAAAGATCCAAGGTAGACCCAAAATTCTCTTCTTCCTTTCTTCTTCTCCTTCTTCTATCTCTTCCCTTCTCTCAGCTTCGATTCCGGTTGGGCAACGGCGGTGGGCGTTCGGCGACGGCGGGACGGCTGACCGGCGGTTGGTGGCCTTTTAAGTGTCCTTTTTGTGTTATGTTATTTTGCTTTTATGCACAAACGTCCATCTGCACTAATTTCCCACATGATTAAGCTTCTATTTTTCCACATGATTACATAATTAAGTTACAATGCATTCATTGCAGCAACTATTACCCATGTACGCACTGCCCTCATTCGTAAAATACGTGCTCGCAAACGTCACGTTATAATACGCACATACAAAGTTCCATGCTCTATTTATCTCTTACAACCGAACATACATTAGTCCTTTCTCAATACTAATTTATTCATCGTACAAAAACAATTCCGTCCCAGATAATGCGGGTGTCTAAAAATTGCTCAGTTTTCATTTTCATGTGCGTGCGTCTGTGGTGTGACGTTTGTGCGTAGTTCTGTTATTACTTGCTCACCGGTGCATACTGTTGAGTTTTTATGATCCAAACTTAGTTTTGCGCACTGATGAGGGCACTAGGTGCGTTGTACACCATTTGTTAAAACGCAAAAGTATTCACGTGTGTACCACAATGGATAATTACAAAATTGTACTTTTGGTAATGACATATTTGGAAATTTGTTGTCATTTTTTTCACTCATTAAATTTATTTTTTTTGACTGTTTTGTATTTTTATAAACTAAGTATTCACCATTTAATTCGTATCACATCGATCGAATACACCTTAGCTTTTATTTACGTCATATTACATATTTTGAAGCGATGTGCGGTCTTCGTGTGAGGTCTGTGCGTCATACTGTAATTCCATTCTGGTTGGTGCTTCTTACTTATTAAGCTTGTGCGTCATACTGTCCATTATCCAATTGGCTAACATTTGTTCATATTTGATTCTTGTGCTTCCTACTTATTAAGCTTGTGCGTCATACTTGTCGGGGGGCTTCTAAGTTTGCGTTGGTGGCGGGAGTGGTGGTCTGTTGTTGTGGAGGGCTACGTCGCTTAGTGCTTGGGCGACCTGGGTGAGTTGCTGTAGGGTTTGAGTCAGGGGGTCGTGTGTGGCGGGTTCCGGAGTCCTTGATTGTCTTCTTTTCGGTGCCATGTTGCTTGATCTATAGAGCCAATGTTTATAATGATTTAGAGGGTTGTACCCTTACCTTGGTGTGATAAGCGAAGGGGGTTCTTTAAATCAGGGAGAGATAAAGTGAGGGGAGGTTATGTGTAGGCTTCACAATCTCACCGCGCGTCCTAAGATTCCTGAGTCCTACGTTCCTAAATACCTAGAGTTCAAGCCTAATGTCCTAAAGTCTGGTCTTAAGAGTCTTGTCCTAGGGTCATACTTAGGCTCTGATACCAACTGTAACACCCCGAAATTTTGAAACTTTTAAAACTTATATAATAAAGGTAAATCCTCATTAAATCCTGAAATCCAACATAAAAGTATGGGGTGCTATGCCACACTTGAGCTAGAGAACTCAGGTGCACAGGCTAACTACTAAAATCCTCAATGATGTCAATACATAAGCATGGCACGCAGGCCAAAAAGGGAAACTAGCTACTCTACGCTCCAGATCTCTAGCGCGCTCCGGTGTCTACTCATCTGTGCCTGAAAGCCAAATATATCTGTTCAGCGAGAGATGCTAGTAACCCACTTCAACGCGTTGAAATACAGTATAGGTATATATATAGATATAGATATAGGAAAACCATTTTGAAGCAAGAAGATATATACTTAGGGGACTCTAGCTTTTAAAACCGGGAATAGATTCAACAAGTAGGGATAAGCACATCAAACAGTAATCAATAGTTAAGTAGAGATAACATCATAAGGAATACGCATCTAAGGTCACAATTCACTTTTTCAATTCAAACACATAATCATTCAATCATCATTCATATCACATAATCGTTGATGGCGCCACGGGACCAATCGCATGCCCCGAACATGAGGGTTAATGCTTATAGCATTAACACGGCCCCGCAGCACCCTACCTCGTTACTGTGGTATGAGGGGAGTTGATCGCAACCAACCCTTTGAGAACCGCTGATGAACTCAACGTCGGACCACGATCCGACACATCGCTGACGCACCCAGTCGGTAGACCGCGATCCCCTTTACAAGGGGGGACTTACGACCCTACACACTGTTGATGCGTACAGTCGGTGGACCGTAGCGGATTAAGCCCGACAACCCGCAGAGCTATACTCAGTCGGTGGGTGAAGATCCTCGGAGACTACGGCCCTACACACCGCTGTCCCATCACTCGGTGGATCGCAGCCAGCCGTAGCCCTACACACCGCCTGATTACTCAGGTCGGTGGACTACAACCTTCCTCGGCTTATTGACCCTACACACCGCCTGACGCGTTCAGGTCGGTGGGTCATAGCACCGAGGCCCATAGTTGGACCGCAGCCTAAGAAGTGAATCAATTTGGCCTTAGCCACTTCTGAGTCTTAGCTCAGGAACAATCCATTGGCCTTCAGCCACTTCCGAACCTTTAGTCCGGGAACAATCCATTCGGTCTTCAACCGACTTCCGAACCTTAGTCCGAGAACAATCCATTCGGCCTTCAGCCGACTTCCGAACCTTAGTCCGGGAATCACCCAATTGGCCTATAACCAAAATGGGGGATCATGCAACACATAACACATAGGAGCACGTAGTAGCACATTGGGAGGGAAAAGACATATAAATAAACTTACGTGTGATCGTTCACATACTAAGAATAGTCCTAAGGGTTCATACAACTTCCATCTAGGTTAACGGATTACCAATTCGACTAGCATGCAATTCCTAAGACTCATCTATCCTACGAACGGTACCCAAAACATCAAACTAAACTCAAGCACGACGAACGGGGTCCGTTGGGACACCATGGGGAGCGGGGAACATCAAACGGGGAAGCCAAAGACCCGAGGTGGGGTACGGACCAGCGGGTAGCCGGTGGGTGGGGGTCACCCGCCGGCTGCCCGCCGGAGGGCACTGTTCCGGGCAGCGGGTTGCCGGCGGGCAGTCGGCTGCCCGGTGGCTGCCCGCTGCCGGGCAGTGTCCCTTTTGGGCAGCGGGTAGGTGGTGGGTTCCCCTACCCCCACCTACCCCCCACTGACTCTTTTCTCATATATTCATCCCGGGAACCTTTGTGGAACCCGAAACCATGCTTAGACACTTTTAAACGCAAATAACGACACCACGTAAGCAATTAACGGATCAAGAGCAAGAATCACGTAGGACTTATCCTATTACGACTTCTAAATATAAACAACACCCGAACATGCGAATTCCCACCCAAATATAAATCAAGAACATCACAATACAAATTCACAATCCAACCTAGGGCTCTAATCACACCCAAATCATCAAGAACATATTTTATCTTTAACATCAAGAACATAACACAAATATCATAGAAGAATTCATCAAGACACGAGAATATAGAGGGGGGCCAAGGAAGGAGATTATAGCGAAGAAAATAGGTTTTGTTGAGACATGGGTTACCTCTTAGCCTTAATTAATTTCCTTGGCTATGAAGGGTTTTTCTTTAAGCTTTCTTCTTTCTTGATTTCTCCTAAGGGAATTCTTGGAACTTCTTGTGTGGTGAGAGATTATTGTGGTGTAAGATCTAGGTGCCTCCGATATACCTATTTATATATTTAAGAGTCCTAATTAGGGTTTAAGTGGTATGGGTTTGTCAATTCTATTTCCTATAGGATTAGGAGATTGGTTTTAGGGATAAGGGCCCATGTACCATGGTGGACCCCTTTTTAGCTAATTAATGGATTTTAATTTCCTTTTTAGGGTGGGCGATAATTTAATTAATTTTAATTTAGGGGCCGTAACACGGGGCGTTACACCAACGGTATGACTCCACGTCTTCCCTATCAATCAGTCCTGCTCCAAATGTTACACATCTCTTATGATTGTCTACGCCGGTGAATGGAACAAAAACGAGCTTGTACCTGCCACCAACATAAATAACTCATTACACTGATGACGTGTTTTTAAATGCTGAACCAGTACAATGCACAAGCCTATAAAAAGACACGCACACACCATTTAAATTACAGTTTGCCACCCCGTTTGTCATATGCTTACAATTAATTAAGGTTTAAATTGAATCGTATTCTTAATAGCAAACCATTAATCCGGTACATACCTGTTTGTTTGATACGTAGCATCAAATGACACGACATCACCAAATGCAACGTAATTTTTCCGTGCCACACCGTCCGCCCAAAACAGTCGGGCCAAGTTGTCTTGCTCATTCATTTCGTATTCGAAGAACATATTTGTATCATCTGCTTTCTTTGCAAGGTACTTTGATATTACCATTTGTGCATCTCCCTCCCTCATGAATTCCAACATCTCTCTCTTGTAATTCTTGAAATCTTGTTTAGTAGCTCCCACATTAGCGACACCACCAACCATCTCTGCGTATAGGTCAAAACTCTGACTTGCTCCGATGTTGACTTTTAGACAGTTCGTTATGAATTGCTGATGTCCAATGTCCAGCTTCCTATTCACTTTCATGAACGGTTTATATCTATCCTTGCACAAGCTGTGCGTTTGTTCTTCTTCGAAACCTTTTACTTCGAATCTCCCCCCGATACCCAGTTTGAATGCGATCCTCGCCCAACACCCTACTCGGTAAGTCGTACGTCGCCGCTTTTGTTTTTTTGGTCCTTCAATTGTACATGCTGTTATACCCGTCAGCCCCTTAAAACCTTCTCGAGAGCACACCATCAGTCGCTTTCTCAATATTGTTCCGTATTTGTTCTTTTCATCAGAACTGCGCCACACATCAAATCCGGCGTTTGCCGCGTACTTTATATAGAAATCAATCCCGTCATCTAATGTCTCAAATACTTGTCCTTCAAATGGTTTCAGACATGGATCACACTCTGGTATCCAAACCACCGTGCTACCCGGTGGTACCTCCGTAGCACAATCCCTCTCCTCAGCATTTTTTTCAAAGTTATCTGTAAGTGACACACCAATACATTAGTCCATAAGATGTTATGAATAATATAATATTCACTTGCATAAAATCAACACAACTATTACGTTAGGTCATTGTAATAAACTGTACATCTTATTCGACATTACGCACAGACCACATATAAGACACATACGCACATGCCGATGTGAACAAACGCACACACCTTCATAACTGCGACCAAATACGCACACTTTGTTGTAAAAAATACACAGACCCCATTTCATTAACTGACTGCCATACATTATTATAAAAATAAATTCCAAACCGTTGAAGAATGTCACATTTCATCAAAAACCTTTTATTGCACGTCATGACAACGTCACTTGGAGAAATACATCCACTTGTCGTCCACCATCTGCCATGTCCCCATATAATAAACACACGCACATACTAACGTAAACATGTGCACATACCAATTATAATTCGAATGACTAAGGTGCACACGCCGCATTAAACGAACGCACAAACCTAAATTCACCCACTAACCAAATCCCACCCATTCCGTCTAATTCATAAAAAATTGATCCCACAAGAAATTCCACACACATCCATTTTAAAACTAATTTCTGTAACCTTGACGAATGTCACACCGCTTCAAAACCATTGAAATGCACACCATGGCAACGCCAACTGAAAAAATTCACCCACTAGCCATTCACCAACTACCCACTGCATGTGCGTTCGTCTATTTCCAATAAAAACACACACAAAACCCCCCAAATGCTTCGTGTCCCCCTCGCATATTAATATAAATACAGCCACCAACACATATCAATGACAATACCGTACAAGCATAACGACGCACACGCCGTACAACCTGTATGCACATACCAGCGTACAAAACACATTACAAAAATTTAGTCTGCAACTCTCTTACCTGTGGTATTCGACATGTTCATCGAATGGATTTTCGTCCGGAACCCCCACTTACTGCTCACGGTTGACCTCCAACAGCTTTTGTGCAGAATTGACCACTAATCATTTCGATTATATTTGTTCTATTTAATTATGACAAAGATTCCAATCAAATTCTAACCAAAATTAACACATTAATACAATTACTTTTAAACCCTCCTATTAATAATATACCCTATTTATTATTAAAGTAAAAAATAAATCAATTGACACAAAATAATATATATATATATATATATATATATATATATATATATATGAAAGAGATTGTTGAGTTTATACAACACAAAGATGCAAGATAAAAAAAAATGCGTATAAATTTATAAATTCATGTAATCATGAATTAGTTTCTACGAGTATTATATATCAATTTTGATTATATAATATGTACTAACTTTTTAATAGTTTGTAATTTTGATTAGTTTTTTTAAAATTTATTTAGAGCAAATACCAATTTTTGTCCTACGATTATTAACAAAATGACGGTTTTGGTCCATATGTTTAATTCCTACCAATTTTCATCCACAACTATTGTTTTGGTACCAATTTTAATCCACAACTATTATTTTAGTACCAAAATTCATCATGTCGGTCACTCATCTATTTAAGACATCCCGAAATCTAAAAATTTTAAGGACATTTTCGTCCATTTCAACCTAAGATTCCAATTTGAGCATAAATAAATGAATTTAATTAAGCCCTAAGAAAATCTCAATTCACAGTTCTCCTCCTCATCCTACCTTAATTTGAGGATGAAAACTGCGAATTGGGATAGATCTTAGGGCTTAAATCCCTTTATTCATGCTCAAATAGGGATCCTAATTTGAAAAGCACAAAATTACCCTTATTAATTTCATATTTCGACATGTCTTAAACGAAAGGGTGAAAAGCACAAAATTACCATTATTAATTTCATATTTCGGCATGTCTTAAACGAAAAGGTGACCGGCGTGATGAATTTTGGTACTAAAACAATAGTTGTGGATGAAAATTGGTACTAAAACAATAGTCGTTGATGAAAATTGGTAGGAATTAAACATGTGGACTAAAACTGTCATTTTGCTAATACTTGTGGGACCAAAATTGGTATTTGCTCAATTTATTTACAAAGAAAGTTAGGTAAAGTAAAATTAAGTAGGGAAAAAATTTTCCTGCCTAAGTGTGAATGCATATTAATAGATTTGTAAGATCATTATTTTTTTGTGTGTAAACCACGAGGTAGTCCGGGTCTTTCTCTGTCCGTTTAACTTTGTAAGATCATTATTACAAATGAGATTAGCAATATGAATGCATTTTTTTTTTGTCATATATTGTTTTAACATTTAAATATTACAATGTATAACTATACTTACATTTTTAATAAAATTAATTCTACTTTGTATCATAACATTACAACAATACTTATAATTTTTTGTCTGTGCATCGCACGGGGCAAATACTAGTATATATAGGGTCAGGCTTCTATGAGGTCAGGTCTTCCCGTGCGGTCAGTGCGGCATACAGCATTAGGTATGCAAAAATGCACCACACAGCGTAAATACATCATTATGTGTGGTGTATTTTTTTTTTGTATGGTGTATTTTTTGACATTTCATTCTGGTGTATATTCGAACACTGTAGGGTGAATTTATACATACCTAATGGTGTATGCCGCACTGACCGCACGGGAAGACATGACCTCACAGGAACCAAAATCTATATATATATATATATATATACACACACACACACACACAAGGAGGGGATCAGGTGTGGGGAGAGGTTCCCGTGCGGTTGGGCGAAGGAACGCACCTTAAGAACACTAATCTCACACACATTAAGCACAAAACTCACGCACCTTAAGTACAAAACTTATGCACAAGTTTCAACACTACTCACACATCCACGCACCTTAAGTACAAGACTCACGCACCTTAAGTACAAAACTCACGCACATTAATCACCACACAACCGCAACGGAGACACTCAACCGCACGAGAAATTTATATATATATATATATATATATATATATATATATATATGTCTGAACGTGACTGTAGCACTCCTGTTTTTCTTTTGGGTTATTTATGCTTCGACAACTTTAATGCGTGTTTAGTTAAAAAGATGATCTTTTAATAGTTTAATTTACTCTATACCCTCTCACACAATCTTTTACCCTAAAAACGTCTTCGTCATGTATATATGGTAAGATTTTTCCTAATAATATATAATATATTATATATTAGGGGCTTAATCAAGTGGTGCAAGTGGACTAGGTTTATTAAGTGGTCTGGTTGGACTGAATAACTCGAAGTTGTTAGTCCACCAAACTTTGTGCCTAATATAATCCTGGATTGATGGGATACAGGATGATTGATGTTAGCACATTCAGTTACGGTACTCATACTGCTAAGTAGACACCCATACACCACAGGTGTGAGGCGAATAATGGTTGACGGTCTACCGTTAAGGGGCAACACAACAGAAATATCAACCATGGCTGGAGATCAACATGGCTACGCTTCCGCTCTCATACGAGGTCAGGTTTCTCGTATACTATAGTTCATTATAGTTAGACTATTGTATATCTAACATATATATACAAAATATATAGAGAGAGAACCCACCTTACAAACTTATGGCATTTAAAAAAAAAGTTACATGCAATAATCCTTTAAATTAAAGAAACCTTACACACTTGGGAAATTTATTAATCACCAAATTTAAGAAACAGTTACAATGAAGACGAGCATAAGTTCCCAAAAAGTACGCAATTATATGACCATGAACATATATAATATTTGCCCTAGCTAGCATAATTCAAGAAGAGCTGTTAATATAGGGCAATTATTTATTATTAAAAACACAGTGCTATTAATACTTCACTAGAGTGGCACTAGATCCACGAGTAGGGCAATAATGTGAGGCTTCAAAACCTTTTCAGGACAAGTATATCCATCTTGATTGTGCTGGTACGTGACAAAAATAATGCAAGTAAGATTGAAAATGCGTAAGAGAACCTCAGCAGACACAGGTGTTGGTTGAAGAAGCCCCTCATTCAAATCTTTCAATGCAAGATCAGCCAATTCTTGAAACTTTTCCATTGCCTTTTCTAGTGATACACCATATTCCTTCATGTAGCATTCAATACCAGTTGCAACTTGCCCTCTCTCTTTTTCTCCCTATTAAAATATATAGAATGAGTAGCAATAATGAAATAAGTTAGTTGATAAATGGGACAGATGGATGAACATATAATTGTATTAAATTAAAGTAAAATATAAACATTACATCAAAGGTGGCTATGTCGTCAATGAGTCTGCATATGGTGACACCTGCTTCAAGAATTTTAGGATTTTTCATTAACCAATCGAATACTTTTTCATCAGCTGACTTCAACGTATAGCAAGATATTGTGGACAGCAAATAGTAAGCAGAAGTAACGAATGCATTTCTTAGGTATTCAGCAAATGTAGGCTTTTGTCCTTCTTCATTAGCAAACCATTTGGCTTCAATAAAGTAGCATCTAACAAGTTCCTTCATCTATTAGCAAACAGATAGGTTAGATCAGAGTAACCAATGTAATGCAAATTAAAATACAGATTAGCCCTTAGCTAGCTAGCTTCCAAATCATGATCATAATTATACTATACGTACCCGCTCTCTTCCATGTTGAACGGCATATGATCTTCCTTCCTTTGAAAGATCCTTTTCATCACTATCAAAAAGGTCTAAGATAGCTTTATAGCTAATTTTCATATAGTTTGGCAAGCGATTCATTTCGTTAATGTCCCACCTGAAAATAAAAGATGTAAATTAATTCCAACCTAGCATTTCATTAATTTCAAAATAATTAATATAATATAATATAATATAATATAATATATAACCTTTGTATGACATCTGTGTAGACCTCTAATTCTTCTACGGTACCATAAGCATCAAACGTGTCATCCACAATCGAAACAATTGAAATATTTTTGGCTAGCATAACTCGAGCCTTAGAATACTGAGGCTCAAAGTATACTCCTAGTGCCCAAAAATAACATTCAACTGCTCTATCTCTTGCATAAGGAAGTTTTGTCGCAAGGTCCAAATCTTTCCACCACCTACACCAAATGTACTATTTAATTAGTTCAACAAATTAAAGCTAGCTATATATGTATAGTAAACTGACAAATTAATTAAATTATATATTAAACCTGGAGACTTCACTGAGCTCTTGCTTGTGCAACATCTGCAGCAAATTAAAATCCAATTTGGCAAAGCGGAGCAACTCATTATTCCTCGAAGACTCGTCTTCTTCTTGGTACACCGAAATGAAAAAGCGATGTTCCACTCTGGGCAGACCGGTGTGAAATGGCTGATCTAGGGCGTGCGTCACCAGCTTTTGTAAAGTGCTGTTGGGTTTCAGATTTGCAGATCGGAGACGAGTCGCCGCAAAAGCGGTCACGCCTTCTAAAACCTCATCGTCACTGCGTATTCTCACGTACGAAGCCTCGTACAAACTCAGCAGACCCTTCACATCAGAGGTGTCTCTGAACTTCCCATTTCCGTCAATAAAGTTACTGAAAATATGAGTAGAAATGTTGTAACCATGTTGCCTCATCAACCGAAACTGAAGAGCAACGGTTTCCAAGTCATTCAAGTGGACGGGATGGGTATAAATATGTCGGAGTTGATCATCAATCTCTTTCTCAAAGTGATATGCTATTCCAAGACGTTCCAGCAAGTTGATGAATCTTAATTTTTGAGCCACATCTTCACTGCTTCCAGAAGCAATGGTCTGCAGCAGCTTAGCCCTTGTTTGTTCCTTCAAAATCTCAATCTCTTTTGCATATGCTTCACCAACCTGCAGTACGTAAGTATATATATATATGAATGCATGCACGTAAGTTACAAGCTATATATATATTCATGCATACAACTAGTACGTACATACCTGATTGTCCATGGAGGATGAATGGAAGCGATCACCCCATAAACTGGGAGAGAACTTCACGACGGGGCGTACGATATGGTTTTCCAATTCGATTGCCATTGCGGGATCAGAGAAGGAGAAGGAGAAATATTAATTTATTAATTATATGTGAGGTTAGCTAGCTGGTGAAGAAATGAAGGGCAAGGCAGCAATATTTATACTACTCCGATCCACACTTCCCTGTCATAACATGCCTAATAAAATAAAATTCCGTCAATTAGTTGTCCAAAATTGAAAAGAAATATAATACGAATTATCTACGGCCGCCAAAGAGTTAAACTTTTGGCGAAGTGATATCGTGATAGACTGAAACCCTAACGGCCACAGAGACTAGACATTTGACAGGTTGCTCTCACACTGTTGCTGGTGAGACTCAACCTCGGGTCATTGTTTTCAAATTTCACACATGATCAATTGAGCTGTCCATGAGAGCAATATCGTGATAATTGATATAGAGGATTGTTGGTGGAGGCTAAGGCCGGGAATGTAATGGTATCCTGACATAGTGGTAAGCGTTTGGTCATGATAGATTATGTCTAGTCTAGGTAGACAAATGGTTATGGGTAAAGTGAAGAGATTAATAAATGTAATTGTAGTGCTTACTTAATAGTAGGTAGATTGTGGTAAAGTATAGGTGGAGGGCACAGAAGAGTATATATGTAGCGAATAGTAAGAGTAAGTAGGTAGTAGCGATTGAAAAATAACAATAATCTTATATTAAGAATCAAATTAAAGTTAAGAAACCTTACTAAAATAAAAGCTTATAAATTAAAATTTTAAAAGAGTCCTTGAACAAGCTAAGCTTGTTTAATTACAAATAAATTTCATAGAAAATTATATATGCTTGTTAGGCCTGGCTAGAGAATTATCAAATATGCTTCTTCAAAAGTAGCATGCTCAGCATTTGAATAGGAGAATGGCTCCCTTGTTGTCATGGAGATTTTATGTGAATTTCTTTGTTATTTCCTATTTCTACGTTTAAAAAAAAAAAAAAAAAAGGTCAATAAAATTTTTATTCTAATTTTTTTTTTATATATCAAATTAAAAAGGCATTGTTGGTTTTAGGACTTTTGGCAACCCACAGGAGTCCAACACAACCTGTAGTTGGTGGATTCACCGGAAAAGAATAATAGGAAAATAAGTAGAAAAGGAAGATAGAAATAAGAACGGACACAAGGATTTGTACGTGGAAACCGGAAGGAAAATCACGAACTTTTTTAGGCAGTACCAAGCCTAAAATTCACTATATTGTTGTGCAATTGTTTGTACATATTTGTGTAGGAATAAACTATTTTCACTACTGAAAATTATGGAATTTACGACCACCTGAAAGTGATCTTAAATCAAGTCGAAAGCAAAAAGTGGTCGGAAATAGCAACAAAGGTTTTTCTGAATACCAAAAGTGGTCGGAAGAAGGCTTTTGACTTGATTTAAGATCAATTTCAGGTGGTCGGAAATTTCATAATTTCCAGCCGTGTTTGTATACAGGGAGGGGGTCTTCTTGTGATGTTGAAGATGAACCAGCATGGAGCCTTCCTAATATGGAGAAGAGTGATAGGTGGAAGAGGGGAGAATAATGTGAGGAAGAGTCCTCTCATGTAAGAGTGAAAGAGTGACGTGTCCTCCTTTGTTCTTTGCTTATCTTTATCTTTATATAGGAAATAGTAGAATGTAGTGTGCAAAATGGTATTTTATGGGTAATAATTAATGGATTTAATGGTTATTATGGAAAATGAATGGTATTTTATGGGTAATAATTAATGGATTTAATGGTTATTATGGAAAATGAATGGGAGATTATAATGAAGTAGTAAATAGGTGTTAGTACGTGGGTTGTAACGGGAGGGGGTTATGGATAATAATAATGATTAGGTAATTAATTTGGTGGTAATGGAATTTGATGGGGTTTAAGGGGAAATAATGTCTAAATGTATTTGAAGGGTTGGGTGATAATTGGCAAATTATACCGTGCATCGGGGCGCACAATGCATTGTGTGTCCTGATCCAAAACAATGTCGTTTGAATATTTTCACGTGTCTGTTGTTAGCTCCTTAAAAAAATCATGTTTTGAATGTACAGAATTGTATAATAGAATATACATAATTTTATACCTGAAAACACAGAATTTTATACCTGAAAACACATAAATTTATAACGGAAAATTCCATTTTTCGAATCTACAGAATTATATAATAGAAAACACAGAATTTTATACCTGAAAACACATAATATTTTTTAAAACGATAAAAATCCCCTGTTTTAAATGTACAGAATTTTATACTTGAGAACACAGAATTTTATAACAGAATACAAAATGACGTCGTTTTAGGAGGCGCGGGGCGCACATAGCACATGGTATAACGATTGTGATAATTAGGTAATTAGTGGGTGATTATTGGGATAAAGAGGGGCATTTATTGTGGGGTTATGCAGGTTTGATCAGTTCTAGGCGGTCCAATCGGGTTCACATATTAGGTATCCATCCATCAAACATCATATACAATTAGTCAAGTTAAGCACAACAAATAGTACTCCTTAGTTAAACAAAAATCTTGTAGTCATACATATGCCCCTACTACTTTGGTGCTAGCGCTCCTCACCATTTTGTTCCCTCCTTTTGAGCCACCAAGATTTTTATTCTTCTTGATCAAAATTAAACCTCACCAATAAAAATAAACTTCTTAAGTCAAGATATTCCCAATAAAATAGTCCATTGGGGCCAAGTTCCCATCAATATAATGTGAATGTGAGAAATTGGAATGAGTTATTATCTAGATATACCTAATACCTTATTATCAATGTGAGGAATAGGCTTATGGACCAACCATTATTGTGTGGACCATGATCTACACAAGTTGTGTGGACCATATTTTATATACTGTAAAATAATGTATATTCAATACAAAAATAATGTACATTTAGTACAAAAATAATATACGTTATATTTAGGAGATGTATATCATTTTTGTACTGAGTGTACATTATATTGTATAATGTATACTCAGTACAAAAATAATATATATTTAATTTATTAAAAATGTGCATTTTATTATGATCCACGTAACATTGTGTGGACCATAATTTGCCCTCATGGACATATACATTCTATGGGGTGGGCCGGGTGGCTCACTAACTAAGAAAAAAATATATTATATTGAAAAGAAGTTTAATGTTTTAGTTAAAAGTATGAAATATTGGAGCAAGTCTAGTAATTCTTAGTTTTTATTCTAAAACATTATTCTAATTTTTTTTAACAAATTAAAAAGACAGCATATACTAGTCAAGTTAAACACAACAAATACTCTTTATTTAAACCCAAAAAAAAAAAAAAAAATTGTAATCTAAAAAATTAACGACCTTAAAATCATGGTGAGACTACCTGTCTACCTAGCTAATTTATTGATTTTTTTTCTAGTAGAAATTATGGATCGAGGGGATCCTAGAGTTTGAAAAAAAAAAAATCATAATAAACACTAATTCTACTACGAGAATGAGAGAAATTGGCATAATGAATTATTGTCTGGGTACGGTATATCTTATTATCATTTATCGATCAATGTGAGAACCAGACTTTTAATATTTTGTAATTTTTATATTCTATTCATTTTAATAATTTTGTTTATTTTAGTATTCTGTATTTTTTTTTAATATTCTATTTATTTTGATAATTCTCTTTATTTTAATATCATGCAATTTTGATATTTTATTTACTTTGATAGTTCTATTTATTATAATATTATGAACTGTTGATAATATTTTAATTATGTTTATATTTTAATTTAAATATTTTTGCTAATTTTAATTTTTTTTCTAAATTCTATTTATATTGTATTTAAATTTTAATTTAATTATTGTACTAATTTTATATTTATTTTTCTATTTTTTTTATTTTTTATGCTAATTTTTATATTTAGTAATTGTAATCTGTTTATTTTAATATCCTAAAACTTTGATAAATTGCTTATTTTAATAATTATGTTTATTTTGATATTCTATTTATCATGTTTAAATTTTACTTTAAGTGTATATTTATGCTAATTTTAATATACTTTAACTTTAATCTACTTATTTTAATATGTTGTAATTTTGATATTTTGTTTATTTAAATTGCTAATTTTATTTTAATTATTATTTCTTCTAGTTTTTAAATTATGTTATTTTTATCTATTTCTTTTAATATTCTATTTATTTAATATATGTTCCGCAGCATTACTAAATTAATTAACAGTATTCTTATAAGAAGAAGAAGAAACACAGTGTAGAAGAGAGAGAAACACTTTGTTGTGTCTCTTTTATCTTCTTTTAATTTTTTTAAGTGATCGGAAAATAAAAAATATCAAGCAGTGATTTTAAATAAGTTGCATTACATATTTATAATTAGCAATGGCACATTATTGAGAATTTAATTTACATTTCACTACTTAACAATTATTGAGGAAAAGAATTTAAATTCTTGTCAAATTTAGATGAGACTAGTCAAAATACCAGGTTTATTGATTTTTCATGCTGGGTATGAATTAAGAGTTGATATGACAAAAATAAAATAAAATAAAATAATAATTAAAAATCATATTACAACACTATTTCTACCACGTGAATGGAGAAAATGACATGAGTTTGTTTATACAACATACATTTAGTAGGGTCACTTGTTAACTTCCATATTCCATAGTCCAAGTAATACTTTTCTTTTAGTAAATGTTATTGACAAGTGACTAGCAAACAAGATGACAAAAGGAGTAACAAGTTAAACAATATGTACTTTTGTGAGAAGATGACAAAAGGAATAACAAGTTAAACATCATGTACTCGTGTAACGATTTTTAAGCTGTAGAAATCAAGGAAACCTCATTTCTTCCAACGATTAATAGTATTATATTCATGTGACAAGGAAAATATGCAGTCACTACTAGACAGCATGTGCACTAGGTAAACTTCATTTGCCCAAGCGAAATGAAATGCTCAATTGCATACATTTTACATATTAAAAATTTAATTAAAATGACATTTATAGTGACAATTTTGAATGAGTCCACTTTCAATTTTTATTGAGTCAAAAATAGATTCAAGTTCTCCTAAAATGAGCCTGAAAAATTTAGATTG